CGTGAGCGGGGACCGACGGATACGTGCGTGGGGCAGGGAGGGCCGATCTTGCCTCATAGCCTTGCAGGTTTCGTCCAAAGACCCAGCCCAGGCCCCCTCCGAGTGGCACCCGGGCCGGTCGTGGGCAGGAGCGAGTGGGCCGCGTGCAGAGCTGGTCGGGCGGTCGGTGCCCGGGCCCGCCCCCCGCCTGACCCTGGGTGACCTGGGCGGGGGGTGGTGAACTGAGGTGCCACACGGAGCGGGTCTGGGGGCCTTTGGGTGTCTGTGTGCAGAGGAAGCGTGGCCGCTCTCTTGTGGGGTCTGCACTGGTGTGAGGTGGTGAGAAGGGGTGACCCCACACCCCAAAACTGGCCTCTCTCTCCGCCCCACCCCCGCACCCTGCTGGGAACCTGCTGTGGGCAGGACATTCCCCCTCGCCTTTCCCTTCCTGCCAGCCGCCCTCGGAGGACCCGGTCAGACTGGCCGGGGGTCAGGAGAAGCGGGCCCTGGCCTCTCTCCTGCCAGGCTGGCGCTGAGTGGTGCCCGGCAAAGGCGCTGGGCCTCCCGAGGCTTCCTCACCTTTGCCCTCAGGTCTGCCTTGGATGTCTGACTGAGTTCCCTGTTGCTGCTGTAACTAATTACCACAGGTTTTGTGGTGAAAATCAGACCTGTTATCTCAGCATGGTGGAAGGCAGGGCTGCATGCCTTCCGGTGGCCGGTGGCCGGGAGGCACCCCTCACCTTTCCCACCTTCCAGAAGCTGCCTGCAAGGGGCTCCTCCCTTCCGCTTCAAGCCTGAAGCAGCATTTTCTAATCTCTCAGACCCCCACCATCTGCACGTCAACTTTTCCTGCCTCGTCTTATAAAGACCCTTGTGAGGGTGTGGAGCCCACCTGGACGGTCCCGGGTAACCTCCCACCTCACGATCCTCAACTTCCTCACATCTGCGGAGTCTCCTTTGCCACGTGAGGTGACCTAGTCCTAGGTTCCAGGAATTGGGACACAGCGTCTTCTTGAGCCTTACTGTGTTGCCCGCAGTGCTCACACAGTCCTCGGAGGGAGGTCCACGTTCCCCTGCCTCCTGCTGCCTGGAGCCCTCGGCGACCCCCCGGGCTGGGACCAGGCAGCTAGCAAGGTCCATGTGCCCCATGCAGGGTAACCCTTCGGCTGTCATGGCCCCTCAAACCCCAGCTGCCCTGCTTGACCTGACTGCCCCGATGGGGCCTGCACCCATCCATGGCAGCCACCTCCATGGTTGGGCCTGAACTGCACTCGGCTCCTTTGGGTGTGGGGTGGGGAGTGGGTGCTCTTGGAAAATGGAGACTTGTGGCCAGTGAATAAGTGCCCCCACCCCTGCTGAGCCTTTCCAGGGCTCCCATCATCCTCCCTGGCCCTTTCCCCTCACCACCCACATCCAAGCAGTGGCCACGCCTGCCAGCTCTTCTCCTCTGTGCGTCTCCATCACCACCATAAACGTCACCGAGGTCTCCATCATCCCGTACCTGGGGCACTGCATCAGCATCCCCTCTGCTCTTCAGATTCCATCTTCTGCCCCTTCCCCAGCTTATGCCATCCAGGCTCCCCTCCCCATTCTCAGCCTCCATTCCTGTGCAGTGCTAGGTGCCTGTGACTGTCACTCCACCTCGCTCTCTCAGACCAGGACCTCCCCGAAGGCAGGGACCACGTTTCACTCAGCTCAGCATTCCCAGGATCCACTTCTGGGGCCACGGGTGTGCTCATGGTAGATGAGGGGCTTGTGTCCTCAGGAGGAGCTGCGCTCTGGCTTCTGCCACCCCTGTCCCTGCATCACACACATCCAGGGCCCAGGCTTTGGGGTCTGACAGGAGCTCCTTGGCCCGGCTCTGTAGACCAGCTGCTGGCCCTGGCCCTGTTTGCAGGCACCTTACACATCCAGCCAGCCTGCTGAGTGTTGAGTCTTTTTTCCTCTACTGGGAAGTGAGAGCAGGTGGCAGGAAGAAACTCACCTTTTTCGCTGCGCCTTATGATCTGGGCATCATGACACAGGCTCAAAGTACAAGATCCCACCAACCCCTGCCTCCCATCAGCCCTGCAGGATAAGATCCCACCCACTCCTGCCTCCCATCAGCCCTGCAGGATAAGATCCCACCCACTCCTGCCTCCTGTCAGCCCTGCAGGAAGCCACCCCTCAGATGAGAAAACTGAATCGGAGGGTTCATGGCCCATCCAATAAGTGGTGGAACGGGACCTGTCAGGTGGCCTCTCGTTCTTTCCTCCCCACTGACCTGCTGAGGGATTTATGCAAGGCCCCAGGAGACCATTTGCTGTGGAGATAACCATGAACTAGGCCAAGAGCCACAGTCACTGTGGTCAGTCTCCCCTCTGTCCACTGTCCCACTGGGGCTCTGAGACAAGGCTGACCTGGAGCAGAATGGCTTGCTGG